GTATAAATCGAAGTCCATTGTCGCAGAAGGTGCTGGCATAAAAAAGATTCCTCACTGCTCAATTGCGATAAGTGCCAAAGTATAGGACAAAAATTTGCAGTCTCCACCGGCGAGTGGTGGTATCTCCATGTGAGTGAAAAATTCTGGAGAGAGACGTTAAACAACATACGTATAATCAATTAATCAATCGATTGCTGAAGAATTACTGTAATTGAATAATCTGTCTTATAGGTATGCTGTCAAATCTTGATATTATAACTTTACAAAACTCAGTGACTTTACGTTTAATGTGATACTAACTTAATTCATTATTTTTTTATAACACCATCACAATTATGCCTAAACATACACACAGTGAAGTTTATGATAGTACGGTGTTCGTTCGTCTGTTTGTTTGTCTTAGAAATGATTGCAAACAATTTTTTTTAAATTGCTAATGATATACATATATCTCTTATAGGTGCCAAATGTATTATACAAGATTGATAAATAAATGAAAATCAAAGTACCTTAAGTACTGAAAGGACTTTTTCCAGTTATTTTTTTCTTTCACAGTAAATATGATATGTATGTTTTTGACACAGAAAAAAGCAAATTCTTACAGATTTAGAAGAACGGAAGACTTTTTTGTTGCCATGGCAACAAGAGTCTAGTTATTATTATTATTATTATTCCTCCCAAATTTTGTGAGCGCGATTACTCAGAGATGGTTGGATAGATTTTCACAATTTTTCACATGATAGTAGGCTGATATATGAAGTTTATATAAAATTCCGTTTTTTGAAAAATTCACTTCCGGTCCGAAGTTACGGCCGAATTTCCAATTTTTAAATGGACTTTTGTCCGGAATTTTTCTCGGAAACGGTTTGAGGTAAAGATGTGAAATTTACAGGAGTATTAGATCATGACATTCTCTTTGTTTCGAAGTTGTTTTCGTGTGTTTCCGGTACTTCCTGTCCGAACCGGAAGTGAACTTGTGTATGGTCAATTTTAAACTTTTTTGTTTTTTAATATTTTTTCAAGATATTTTTATGTATAACAGAGATTAGTCTACAAATACTAAATATATAATTTGTTTTGAAATCAGATTCCACATTTTGTAGATTTTCGGTACCGTCATTTTCCCTATTTACGTAATGGGCAAAGAAAGATAACTCTGACTTGTAAGTGAGAATAGAACTTTCGAGATAAAGGCTGAAATAGTATCGATGACGTTGTCGATGTCTGCATTCTATTTAGACGTTTCATATTCACTCTCTTCTACATGTAAGAGTACCTTGCTTTCCACATTCAGTGTATAAAGTTGCCACTGCAGTGTAAGACTGTACATATTGACAGTTATTGAAGAATGCATATGTATTTACACATGTATATATATCTAAAATAAACTGATATATGGCAGCTAGCACATTCAAGTAAATATATATTATAGACAGTATACATTTATAGTGATGGAATGTAATCGTAATACAGCTTTAAAGCTTTTTGATATAAACTGAAACCCGTCACTTAAAATTAGGCGAAAAGGCGATTCTTGTAAAATACTCAGAGAGTTAATAAAATATTATGTGAAAAGGCGATTGTGTGTGAATTATGGCTCTGCTAGATGTTTCTTCTGAAAAAGAATTATTACAGTGATAAAAAAATGCACAGGTCAATTGATAGGTCGGATAAGTATTAAACTATCTACATTGTACTTCCTTTGAAGCGCCCCACCCCTGTCTTGATTTATATTTGGAGAAGGTGGCGCAAATAGGCGGTATTTAAGTTATACATGTGGTAATAGTTTCTTCATATTCTATAATGGTAGATTTTTTCTCATAATATGAAATTATGATACTGAAATGTTAAATTTAGATGTCGAGAGAGAGAGAGAGAGAGAGAGAGAGATTCCCTCTTAATCACTCCTCCTATCCATATATACATAGAACAAAGAAATGTTCTATATCTTTAATAAATGTTCTTTGATTTCAAAGTCAGACATGATCACAACCTGTTTTTTTCTGCTTAAAGTATCACACGAAGTGTTTGGCCTGTCAATCAAAATCACTTGACGCTGTATGAACTGCAGTATTCTATATAAAAGTATTTCGCCTACTACCATTTAAATGGAAAGTACCTTTTACTATAAATAGACTTACTTGATGCATAATTATGCTGTATTGAATTTTGGAAACTGACTTTGTGAAATACATGTACATGTACAGAATACGGAACTGCTTCTACATGTAAATTATAGAAAATATTTCTGGGTAAACCTATGCTCTGATTCGGGCTATAAATTCAAGAGAAATACTTTCAAACTGTATACGAGATATCGTCAACATACCTGCACTGCTCTTGCACCTGGTGTGAAGTATTTACCTTGAATACTATCTGGTTCCAATGAAATGCATCTACAATGTACTTATTTTCGGGATTCTGTTCATAACTTGAATGAACAACACTTAATAGAAAATAAAGATGTTATCCTAAGAAAATGAGATAATTGTACAATTTATGGATTTTTTTTTAAATTCTAGGCTTAAATTATAAATCAAAATTTATATAAACGAATTTAATGAAATGATGTCCATAAACTACACCCGTTGATTTATATCATTTGTATAATGTTTATATTTTGTTTGTATAATTTAGTCTTTAAAAAACTTTTTAAAAATACTGCGTTTATGGTACATGAACTTTCGGATCATCGGTTTTTCTGTGTAAAACAAAAAATAATTCTCGGATAAATTTTATTGAACAAAGAATAGGGTGAAATAATTCTAACATTCTAAAAAACAAAATTCACCTGGCGTTATTTTTTCTCGCTATTAAAATCATGTATTAAAGAAAGCAAAACAGATTGTCTGGTTCCGCCGTGATTACGCAAGACGAGTAAAAACAAATTTAATTTATAGTATTTACATGTGTAGTATATAGTATTTCATTCAATACATGACTATATTTTTAAGAAGTCACTGTTATTTGTTGCTTTTTTAGTCGGATCTTGTTTTTCTCACTTTTAATCGGCTATGAACCTCCACCACACCCCCACCACCACCCCCCGGCGAATATGCCTCATACAGGATTAAGACTATCATAATTTACATGGTTTTAATTAATTTGCCGATATAGACCTATATTAAATAAGGGTTATTTTAATAACAGTTAACATAAAGTCTATTAGCAATAATTTATAATTATTTACTCCGAAAAGTTTTATTTATTTATTTTGTGTTCTTATGTATTTTTAACAAAAGAGGATGTAATCATTCAATGTTTGCTAATTTATACGAAGTTTTGAGTATCTGATATATAAATGATAAACAATAGAATGTTAAACGACAGTGATTTTCACCGTTTCCTGTCTAAATCAGAACCCCTGTTTCGTATGGTCAGTTCCTTCGAACTCGTATGAAATCCTGTTACGTAAATTTATTTGAAACTCATAGCAAGTCCTCCTGAACAGATTCCAGACATCTGCAGATTCTGTGGCAAAATCTTTCTAGATATATTTATGCACATCACCTGTTCTTGCTCGCTGACATCGGATTTACGTAATGGCTGGTGGGATGATATTTCCAATAATTTTGATGTCCACCTCTCTGCAGAAATTTGTGCAAGGACAGATGACGAGATATTTCTTTTTCTTCTTGGAAGTAATTCTGTTCATTTACTATCTGGAAAAGATCTTCGGCAGCTTAATGTGACCAACTTTCGATACATACGAAATGTTGCCACGTGTTACAACCGAGCCCTCCAATTCTATCCATAGGTGCTAATTGGTCATCAAAATCAAAGTACCTTAAGTACTGAAAGGGTATTTTTCCAGTTAAATATTGTATGTGTTGTTTTCTTTTCTACATAGAAAAAAGCGAATTCTTACAGATTATATAGAAAAACGGAAGACCTTTTTGTTGCCATGGCAACAAGAGTCTAGTTATTATTATTATTCTTTTTTTCTACTTTCTTCTCCGGTACTTTTTTGTCCGGGAGTGTTCTCATAGAATCACTCATCCGATTGACATGAAACCTTTTTAGGGTTAATAGGCATGTTGTGTAGGTGTTCGGAATGAAGGTCATTTTGCGCGCACATGCATGCATGTGCGCGCGCGTGCAATGAGTGAAATGACTAATATACTTGATGAAGCCGTAACTTTTATATTTCTTGATGAATTGCTTTGAAACTCAAAATATAAAGATATATTAGTAGTCTAGACAAGATAACATGATCAAATTAGCGTGAACTCACGCGCATGCACGTGCGCTCTTCTCTGATTGGCTGATACAAAAATCTCAATAATTTCCTTGTTTTTTGACAAAATACTTTGAAATTTAGAATATAAGTATATATTATAAGGTGCTACAACACGTTATATAGGAAATTTCTTGAAAACACGTACATGCAGGTGTGCTGCAATCTGATTGGTTGAAACTTTAAAAGTCTATAACTCCCTTGGTTTTCAACAAAACAGGATGAAATTTATGACATGGATAGGCACATAGAGTTCCTACATTATGATACTATCAAAATTGAATGCAAGGCCATGCATGCGCGTATGCTGAATTCTGATTGGCTAATACTTAAAGGGTTACATCTCTCTTATTTTTCAATGAGATTCTTTAATATTTAATACAAATGTATGTATTGTGAGACACTATAAGAAAATTAATGTGAAAAATGTAGAAAACATGTGCAAGTACATGCGCTGAAATTTGATTGACTAATACCCATATGGCTATATCGGAGTAGTTTTCCAATGAAATACCCTTAAAAATAAAGTGTCCATCTACATGTATATTACAAAAGTATTGTCTAATTTATTGAAGCTTGTGGGGAATGGGGCATCATAAGGGATTGGGGAGCCGTTTGGGAAACATCTGTAACGGTTTCCGTTACAATTAGCACTAGTTATAAATTGTAATATCAGAAAACCTATGGAATTGTGTACCAGTAATTATTTTTTTTATGGAAATTATGTCCTTGCTTTCCCTAATATTCGAAGCAAGAGCTTGTGATGTTCACAACAGTGAACATCCCCAACTTGCAAATAAAGGTATTCAAGTGAAAATTTTGAATGAAGCATGAAATGATGTTTATTTTCTGTTTTGATTTGTTTTCCTTGTTTTAATTTGCTTGTGGGTTCCCAATTTTCCCCCACTACTTATGATTAGTTAAGTACTTATCTGTTTGAAAGAAGCAGGTAGAATGCATAATCTACATCTTTTTCTTTAAATTTCAGAACCCATTTGAGATGGAAAAATTTAGAAAACTGTATTACAGTAAGTTATTTTACTTTTTTAAGTACAGTCTAATTAACAAAATTCGGCGATTTAAAAAATAATTCTCTAGAAGTCAGCAAATTTTTTAATACATATATATAATGTTGCAATATCAAACTTTGATTATTAAAAGTTTTCTATGACTTTTTATAATGTTAACTTTTTTACTGATTGTATCAAATCCTTGTTGTGGCCTCCAATTCAGCATTTAGATAATTCAACAATGTTTTTATCAAATAACGATTTTTACGATGATTCAATATATCCCACTGTACTCAAAATAAAAGGCACCTCATGTTTCATATTTGAATGTATTACCGGTACTAGAAAGATATATTGATGGCAAACTAACAATAAAATTTATAATATACAGTTGAACTTCGGTATCTCGAACACTGATATCTAGAATACAGTGCACTGTACCATGGATATGTCGAAGTAATTTGGAAGTCCCAACCACTTATTCTTAAAGTATTTTACCCTCGATATCTAAAATCCCCGTGGATATCTTGAAGTTTTTTCTTGGTCCCATTGAGTTCAAGATAATGAGGTTTGATTGTACTTGATGCCTTCAAATTAATTTTCTTTCATCAATTTTCCTTATTTATGTAGCAATGTACCATTATCAGTTGCATCTTTATGGTGTGTATGTCTCCAAGAGCATGCTCTACATATGAACAATTTCTAAACAGAGACAGGCTTCTAATAAATAAGTTGATGATACAAAGGTATCAGCAACCTCATTTAAGGTTGACATTTTGAAAATGCTATGTTGATATAATAACCATGTTTGCAATTACAATCTTTGGTTAGGTTGAATGTTGATTGACATTTCTCGTACTAATTGTTAGCCTGCAATCATCTTCATACCATATTGTCTACTGATTTCTCTATTTACCTGATCATTACAAGGGTTCACAAGGGGTGTGACCATTTGACAGGGGATGGTTACTCCTCCATGGCACAAGATCCCACATCTAATGTTTTTCAGGGGTCTGTAGTCTTCATATTTAATCCTATGAGTATCTGTAGTTTAATATGAATTCTCTTTCAGTTGATCCTGTTAAAGATAAACACATGCTGGAAATTAACTGGTCATTTCCTCCAATGCTATTACAATACAAGTAAGAAACTGAATACTTTTCACTTCACACTAAAAAGTTACCCAGCAACCTGCTTTCTCATTTTATCATATAAACACAGCATAACATGCAAGTGTATTAAAAATCATGCCTTGCAATCAATAACTTTATGATATTTTTTCTTGTATTAGGAAAAAGCCATTGTTGTACCTGGACTTTTTCTTGGGTCATGAGGGAGAAGACAGTTTACTAGCTCACTTGAAGAGCAGGTAGGTATTGTCTCTACAGGTACCAAAAAATCTTTTCTTTTGCCTGTGTTGCACTCACAAAGATTAATTCCATCTGAAATACTTAAATGGTCACATGTAATATGCAAGTTAAACCTCAGTAGCATAAAAAATGCATTCTGCATTTCCATGTTACAATTATTAGGAATTATTGGGGGGGGGGTGTAAAGAAAAGATGCTTTCTTTCTCTCATCAATACCTCAATCAACCATCTGGGAATCTGTGAAATTAAAATCTTTATCCATCTGTCAGATTAGTTACAGTGTAGCTATGACTGAATCTCATTTTTATGTTGCCTTTGTATTGTCCTTCAACAATTTGGCATCAGTGTTAACTCATATTTAGCTCAACAACCAAAGGTTCAAGCAGGCATTTTCAGATCACCTAATGTCTGTCCATCTGTTAACTTTTCAAATTTTTGACATTGGACTACATGTATTCTATCAAACTTGCCACAAAGTATCCATAGTTGAAGGAAATACAAGTGTGTTCAAATCAAGAGTCAAATCCTCTTAAGGATAAATAACACAAACAAACTTTTTTCGGAAATCAGCAATATTTCTCATAGATTTATATTCAAATAGGTAACCTGGATATTTTCTGGGTAAAAGTGGGAGAATTTTGAAAGATTTTGTCACAATGTCAAAAATATGTGCAAAATTTTGTAAATTAGATAGAAAATGATACAAAGTTGCTTATCTAAGCACCAAAGAAAACTTATGATTTCTTTAAATTTTAGGGATTGGTTATTCATGTAATTTCCATTCAAGATCAGTCAAAAAATATATATATCAATCCATGCATCCAATTTTTGTGTGTGGTGTGTACCCTTAAAAGGGGAAATAGTAAAGAAAAGAAAAAAGTAGATTTATTAAGAAATCTTCTCAAAAATTGCTGGGCCAAAACATATAAAAGATATTTTCTGGTTTAGTGAACAGGCTAAGGTTTTTAGAGCAGATCCATTATCAGGTATCTATAAGCCCTATGTTAATTAGTGGTGCATGTATGATAGTCTAGGGATGCACACTACCATTCACTACTACGTCTCAAGTAAACCTGACTCAGCTGGGGTTTAAACCTGGCTTACGTGATCTTTGGATCAGCGACTGAGCTGTACTTATCTGAGCCATAGCTACGCAACTGGCCATAAGAATAAAAATAATGATTAGTGTTTTGATGTTTTAATAAGCCGTAGCATTGTTAATTTTTTATTAAAAAAAATTAACAAAACTGCAAATGGGCATTTGCAAAACTCTTACACAACCAGCTAATAAATATATGGTGTATTATTTGTTCTCATTAATTACTACAACATAGTAGAGACACTTTCACATATTAGGATAGAAGAATCATTGGAATCTTTGTACCAAGGTTGACATAATTTTTTTCCTTGCACTCTAATCTAATTGAACAATATTTGACTGGCATATCATGTGCACTTTTTTTCTATTTGAATAATGGTTTCTGGCATTTATACATAAATTATTCTGAAAACATTGATTGAATACAACATTAAAAAAACATGCAGACAATTATTCCCTATATGTATACTTCTCTAAATATGCTAAAATCTGATAAAATTATTCAATAGATCAGTCATAGTCTGTGCAACTCAATTCTATATATACATTTTTCTTATAATGACTTTATAATTTTCTTTGAATTACGAGATAATTTTCTTGGAATAAAGAGATATTTTCTCGTAGTTACAAGTTAATTATCTCATATTTACGTGAAAAGATCTTGTGATTATGAGATAGTAGGGCGTAAATTTTTTATTTGATACGAATAGGCTTTTCTCATAATTTTGCTTTGCAGTCATTAAAATATCAAAAATCCTATCCCATTTGTAAAATAAAACATTGAATATCCTCAATTATACAGAGAAGAAAAGAAAGATACCATATATACTTGACTATAAGTTGGTCTGCCCATGAGTCGGTTGTATTTTTTAAGATTACATTAGAGGGACTAACCCACTAAAACACCAATTATTTTATAACTCACGTGTAAGTCAGATAAAGAGTTTGGACCAAAGTTTAACTCCCAAAAAATAATGACTTAAAGGCGAGTATATACGGTACACGATGGGCAACTATATATGGTACACAAACTTAAGTGAAAAATAGTACACTATTCTGTGTTCATTGATTGGAGATATTTAATTACTTCAACAGTGTTGTTACAATTTTGTCCCACATAAAGATTGTTCTCATCATCATTACAAACACTAATTGGATTAGATACTTGTTGTCGTGTGGGTAGTAGAGATAAGAACTGACCGTCCTGATCAAGGAGATGAACTTTGTAACTGTCACACACCAGTATGTGACCGAGGACATCGGTGCAGATTCCAAAGGGCTTGAGCCCTGACCCTTGACCTGTGTATGAGAATCTATGTTGTCCTGATTTATTCACCACCACCACTGTCTTAGCAAACTCTGATGTACAGATATCTCCATTGATATTTTCTGTTATGTAGAATGGTTGACTATACAGTCTCTGTCCTTTGCTGTCCCTCTGTATGTTCTGTAGTTCTTTTCCTGTCTTGTTGTACCTGGTGATTTTAGCCTCATTACCCATCATCATCCCCACCAGTATGTCCCCACTGATGTGGGAGGAGTGTATGCTGCATGGTATCCAGTCTGTTTTAATGAACTCTGTGGTATTTTTATCCAGTGTTATCCTATTGATGCCTTTCTTTTTATGGTCTGTAAAGATCAGATCCCCGTCCTGTGTTACTGTGTGGTAACCAAATCCACCACTGGTTTTTATCTTCTGTAACTTATTCCCCTGTAGATCTGTGTGGAGAAGGTTACCATGATTATCACTGACCCAGAGTCTGCCTGACTGATCTAGTGACATATGCCACACAGTTTCAACACCTGGTACTTTGAACTCCCTGACCTTGGTGGCAGAGGAATATAGAGACAGTGTTTGTTTCATGTTAGATATTTGTTGAGTGTCTTCCATTACTTGATACATATCCTATGGCTTCTTGATTTCAGATTTGAAGGGATTTTTGATTTTAGGGGCTGTACTTTTCTCATCTCTTCTTCCATGTTTGGAAAAGTTATTTCCCCCATTAATTTGGCAATATCCTCTTTGCTGTACTTCCCAGCAGTAAATACAGGCATCACTAGTTTTGTTGTTTCTGGTATGGGTTGGATTTGCACATCCTCTGCTGTTAAAAGTTTTGAAGGTGTTAAAGAGGACATATAAACATGGAACTTTTTGTCCAGGTCATTGAGGCAGGTGATATACTTTTCAATTGTTGTATCTTGGTTATTTAATTTTTCCAATAATGACTGCTCTGTTTTGTTCACTTCTTCCATATTTTCAGAAGTCACCGAGTCCACCATACTTTTTAGGGATTCAGCTTCAGCCTTCATGGAGGTTCTAATGTTGTCCATGATCTTCTTGATTTCTTTGGTATCTCCATTAATTTCTCTCTGTAAATCTTTAGATGTTGGCAAGAAATACTCATGAATTTTTGCAATTTCTCCTTGACAGTGGGAAAATTTCTCTGTATAAATTGATTCCAGATCAGTGAATGTATGACCCCTATGTTCTGATGTGGCAGTGCATTTGGAACAAAGTGGGATTTGACATTCTTCACAAAGAAGATCTATATCCTTAGTGGGGTGGATCTTGCATTTTTCTGTGGGCAGTTGTTGTTTCCGTTGTTGGTATAGGACTACCTCATGGCTTTTTGTTTCTGGACTTCTCAGATGTTCATCCCTGCATTGTTTACATAATCTTGTGTGGCAGAGGTTGCAGTAAAATTCACAGTTTCTTTCGCAGTGTTCAATACCACACTCTAAAAAGTGTTGAGGTGTACCTGGTAATTCTGCTTTTGACAGAGCCATCTGCAAAGAGTGCCTTTCAGTATTATCTATTTTGCAAATTTATATAAATGCTGTTGTAAAGGAAAGATGTATTAAAATGTATGTCCCTTACTGATTTTTAATCAAAAATACATCTTCGAGTAAGTTGTGACCATGCAGAAAAAAATGCTCAATATTCATAATGATAGGAAGATTTTCAATGATTTTTTTTTATCCTACAAAGCTTACAGAGTCTTTAAAAATATTTTTTTCTTGTTTTAGAAACATACATGTATATATCAATATTAAAATAAATTACTATAACAGTAATGTTACGACTTAGTCAAACTGTATAACAAATAAGGACTCCCAATTTATTGTTTAATTTGTACAAGTTTTTGTATATCTGTGATATAAGTTGATCAAAGCATACAATCTTATAACTTACATGTACCGGTATTGTTCAACTCCAAGGTGACTTTTACTGATCAGCCATTTTGAATGACTTTACACCTGTGATCTTTAATCAAGGCTGTAATTTACTTCCTCATTGTTGGTAAATATAGATTTAAATGTCTGTGTTGCACACGTATATTTTATCTCTGACACAGTAACATTGACCTGATACCATAAAGTTCATAATTATGATTCTGGAACAAGAGGCTACTTACAATGAATAAATAAGGAGAATCTGTATTAATTCTTTTTCTAATCATTTGATTTTATATACTCGTAAGATTGTATGAACTTCTGTTGGTGATAAATTCAGTCTTCTGAGGCATTTTATACTTGGACATTTAACCCAAGGATTTCAGGGATGTTTCCTCCTCTCTCCTCCCCTTTTGCCTTCCTGCAAACTAAATTGACAAGATAGTTCATATATCCCAGTAAGTAAAATTTGGCAAACTTTTTGAGAAAGAGAGATTTTTGTTTCATCTTACTACATGTACATGCACAAAGCTTTTTTTTTTTTTAATAATTCATGTCCCTTAACAATTGAGTGATTAATTCGAGGGTTGTCCCATTTTTTGTTATTTCGTAGGTATTTTGTCACAGCAGTGGAGAGTGGGCACAGCTACAATGGATTTGAACTGAACACCACAGCCACCCAGTTTGTGGTGAACTTGACCCTTACTGACAGGGGACTTGAACAGTTTGAGGAAGTTCTGCTGGCAGTTTTCCAGTACATACACTTACTAAAGAGCAAAGGACCACAGGAGCAGTACTTTGATGAGATGAAGATAGTGGAGGAAACCAAATTTAGATTTAAAGAGAAGGTAGTAGTCCAGTCAATTTAGCAAAAAAAATGGGCCCAAAGTCAAACTATAATTGCAACAGGAATTATTTTGTCATATATGAAATTAAGGACCCTCTCTACACCAGTGCAAAATGTTTTTTGGACATTGAGAAAAATATATTGTATAAAGGTGTTAATATTGAGCTTATCTGTTTAATTTTCACTATATGGTACATGGCATTTACCTCCAGGAGAAATGTTTAAACACAACACAGTATCAGTGAATAGAAATCACTGCTGTTTACTTCCATAGAGACAATACATGTAAATAACATGTTCAATTTATTTATCTTGGCCTTTTAAAATGTTAAGAATACTTGAATTAATTACAAATTGAGTAACATACTGTAAATTTCTTTTTTTTTAGAATTCAGATCTAAGCTAGGGCAGCTGCAGATCACTCTAATTGCAGAAAAATACCATAGAATCAGAACTCTTTTAGTGTGCAGTGTACATGTAGATAGGGTTCTTAACATGTACAAAATATTTGCAGTAAAAAATCTTAGAAAATCTTATGAGCAGAAAGCATAATTTTGCCATGATTCTAATTAGCTGTTCGAATTACATGTGTACTAATAGAAAGGGACATAACTCTGTAAATTCACCCAATGTTTTGCTGAAATGAAAGAAAGTTAAATTCTGTTTTCATGAAAGTGTAATATTATTTAACTTTTTTGATACAGTTTACTATATCATTATTTCACAAAGATAATATAAATTTGAAATGATATTTTGAATTTAATTTCATACTTTTTTTTTATTTGGAAATATTAGCATTTTTAATAGATGGTGAATACAGAGTTTAAAAAAGAATAAAAATAAATAAATTTCCTTTAGATTAAGATTTAGTAGACATGGATCATTTCATTTAAAACATAAAAACTAGATATTATATAAAAAAAGACATATCCTTAAAAATTTGGAGACAAAAGAGCTAAAGCCACGAACCATCAAATTTGGCCCTGTGTTTTTCACAAAAATAAAGTTTCGAATCAAAAAGAGTACTATACATTAAATGTTAGAGGACAACATACTTGTTTTCCATACGTAACGTATTTTGTTAAATAATGCGCCATTAGGTACGTGCGACGGTTGGAACATGAGACGATGTGATAAAAACGTTAAAAAATGCCGATTTTTTGACACATTTTCCCAAAGTTAGATGTGGCCACAGTCAAGAACATCTTTCATACTTACCATAGATATAGATATTGCCGATGCAAATCTTTATGCTTATTATCGTTGTTGTTCGTGGGTGTGGCCAATATGAAATTTGATTTTATATTTAAATTTTGATGCATCAAATAATCACTAATTTGTGAATCAATCGTTAACATTTAATTCATACACCAATAAAAAACTACACATTTCACAAAATATGCGAGAAAAACAATTTATTGTTCGTTTAAAACGCTTATTGTGGAAAAACACCTTAAGAATAAACATTTTCTGAAATAAATATCTAGCAAAACATGGTTTTTATTGTGAATAGGTCCATTGTATATGACGTTACTAATAATACGTCAGTTGTGACGTCATAAAGGCTCTAAACTATTTGGAATGTTGCTGAAAAGTTTTGTATGATCTCGAATGCTGTCTTTAATTTATTTGTATGATTTAAGCTCAACTGGATGATACCATCAAATTATTAATTAACAGAAATTCACGCCAAATTGTTTTCTTTACTGCCCTTAACACAATACACCCCCCCCCCCCAAATGCCTGCTTAAAACTGTTATTAGACCTTCAATTTTATACATCTTTTATTTATATGTTTCTTTTTATTTATTTTTTTTTTTATATTCTTGAGACAATTTTAATACTATTGTGCGTGTTAACAGACATGACTCAAATTGTAAACAAATTAATAGAGAATGTAGCAAAGATATCACGCTAGACCTTTGTAAAATAAACGAAATAATAAAAACATAACTTGCTCAGTGTGCAAAGTGAAAATTAAAAGAAAAGAAATAAAAAACGCATTTGGATAATCATCTACATTTCGGCTAAACAGAATCTAGGTCACGGTCGCGGGTTCATCAAGTGCATTTGTTTTGACGAAACCCAATATCGGTACACACATACACGTACATGTATACTATAACTATATATTATTTCGTACCAGCATATATAAGCCATCGATGTAATAACTGTATTTAAAAAAATCCTCTGAGATGATTCTTATGCATGTACACAAAAGGGTTAATTTCCATCTTACTTCAAAAGCATATATTAAGCATATATACATGTATTTTGCAATATGTCTGCATTCAATAAATTCGAAGTGAAGATATTGATGATGCATGTGTATAACACATATATACTGATTTTCTTATCATTCAAGATTCAAGACTTCCAGTTGAGGTCGAAAAAAAGGGGGGTGTCATAAACTAATGACAGCAAAACTTTAATTAATGTAATTATTCAAAGTTTAATCCTATAAGTTGTCTTGAATTTAACTTTCTTTATTGTTTATTAATAGAAATCAATCTAGAAATTGAAAATTGGTCTAAATTTTCCTACTCCTCTCATTTTTTCCTCAGTGAAAATGGGGGGGGGGGGGGTGCCTGGTGCGGCACCACCACTGTGTACGAAAAAAATATTTCACAAGGGAAACTGAAAAGAAAACGTAGGGACAGCTCTTATTGTTTCTGCGGGTAAGACCTTTTTTAAGCAAGTTTTTGTTGAATAAAATCAATATTGCGCTGATTGTAGGACAATAAGACAAGGATAAATGAACACCTATACATGTGTTTCACTTATGAATGTGACCCACATATCAGCAATATAAACGCAGCTCTACTCTTTTCATAAACCACAAAAAACATTATATATATATGTGCAATGATATCGAAAGTGGGAATTTTACACTTTATAGTTACGTATGCTAAAAACGAGTATTTGCTCATCTTTAATCATTTTTTACATTTAAATGGAAAATAATCATATATAAATTTTCGCAGATTTCTATCTTTACGATTTCCTTGCAGTAAAGATATTTGGGAGAGAAATATTCGAATATTTTGCAAGAGAAGAGTGTGTGTGCGGGGTGTGGTTGGGGTGGGGTGGGGGTTCTAGCAAATACCGATATATATATAATAATGAACAGGGCTGATTTATTTTTTGCTTTAGCCTTAAATTACTGATTTCTCAACAGATTTATCTTTCCTAACAATATTTTGTTTGAAATGTATTCCATATTAATCCAAAGAAACTCACATTTAGGGCGACAGTGTTTTAATGAGTTCCGTTTACTAAATAAAGCATTTTGATAAGTTGCGACACCCCTTTTCAATTAATCTATAATGTTTTATGTTTCTGTCTCGAAAACGACATTCAAATTATTGTTATAAATGAATACAATAAAACTCATTTAGTACGAACACGGATATACCGAATGTACAGCTATCGCAAAGTTTTTTGCAATCCCTTGCAAAATTCCTAACAATTCCGTGTAAAATTTTACGGCTATATCGAATTCAGATATAGCAATTTTACGGTTATACCGAACTAATTTTGTGTCCCCCAGAAGTTAAAAATAAAGAAATGTACATCTTTTAGAGCGAATTTTCAAAGATCTAAATTTTAAAATATTGAACTGATATATTAATTTTGTAAGTAATCATATTTGAAACTCAATTCATCCGAAAACTTTTGAACTCCAAAGTAAATGTTGTATTTTATACTTCTGTAAATACATGTACATTTGTTAGCCATACTTGAAGGAAAAAAAAACATATTGCGAAATCTCTATGTATACTTTAAGGAATTTGTTATACGGATATAACGAATTATGGATATAGCGAAGTAATTTTGCAGTTCTCCAGAACTTCGCTATAACTGAGTTTTACTGTAAATGGATTAGAAACAAGTCCTTCCAACTTTTTACTTCCTCCGTTTTTCCAAATCATTTAGATCTTTTATATGTTAAAATGCTCGCAAGTTCAGGATCTAAGAATTTCGGATTAAAAGTCTATTTCCATTTCAACATTTTTTTTTTTGCAATTACATCTATAGATCCAGTTATTGAATTACATTGTGGCTCTTCAGTTTAGAAACATTCGTTTTAAGATCATTTCAAGTATCTTATTATTTTTTTCTGACTGCCCCCTTCCCCACTTTGAAAAACAAACTTCGTGCATGGACGCGCATTCCAAAGATATAAGCTTAATATTTGCAGGAATATTGGAAAAAGTCCGGAAAACTAAGTTGGACGGGCTATCGTCATTTGAAGCAAGTCATATGTTTTTTTTAACGATGTTTAATACTCAATACTTACATGTAACTAGGAGCGATGCATCGCACAAAAATATGTTCAAGGGATAGAAATACAATGTTCCTTCTTAAAAATTATAATAGAATAGTGTAACGCAGTTGCCATCAAGACTGCGATGTGACATCAATTTCCAACTGCTCTTAATTGTCTTAAATTAATTATGAAGTTTATTAGTAAGACAAATGTCCATTCCAATTGATACGAATTTTAATTCAGAATCACATATGTAAAATCGCTCAAGGTTATTTTTCCGCCCTACGACGTTACGTTTCAAAAAATGACGTTCTACTAGCATTTTCTTTTAAAACACCGTCATACTTCAAACTCTCTTTTTCAAAAAAATATAATCGATATTCAAAAAAGAAAAACGGCAAAGAAAAGCTAAAAGTCTACACTATCAACTGACAAAACCCCGTTACTTTTTGAGACAGGGCCATTTTTGATGGTCCGTGGCTCTTGCTCTTTGACCTATATTTTGATAATTAACTTCTACCATTAAATTTTATTACTATGAGGCGAGAAAATGCAACAGACACTCTAAAGTGTACCTAAACACCTGTAAAAAAATTCTTAGGTATAAAAGGATTTGCTGCATCTATAAATGTCATTATAAACAGTTTAATTTACTTCATCTTTCTTCAAGGTAGAAATATGCAACAAAATTTTAACCAAATGGATGATGTGCCAAAACTACTTTCTGCAGCCCCTTTTTCTATTACGAATTATATTTATTCTACACCGATTTTGATAGTTTTCAAACAAAAGTGAATAAATACGACGCCTTTTGAATAGTTTCAAAAGTTCCAACACATTTTAATTATGAGGATTACTGCATTATCTATGATTTTTTTAAACCCCATGAAAATTTGGCCTGGTTTGTGACAATAGGATTTTTTATGAAAAGAGAATAGGCGGATATTAGTACAATAGAGGGGTATGCATGTCTGAGGAATCTACCTTATATAGCTATTGTTATTATTTCTCACATAGTCGCTTACAGAGAACAATTGTCCAATCCAATGACTGAACGACAAAACATGCTGGTTTACCACAAGTTTACATTTTATCACAGACACATGACTTAGGTCAATTTACACATCATCTCTACTGCATTTCAAACTTTTAATGGTCAGCAAAGGCTTTTTATACATGGTAATACGTATGGAATCTCAGTGTTTACTGTTTGGGGTCGAGAAATTCACAATGAAACGTGTATTCACTGATAATCGGGAATACATGTAGCCAATTGCCCAGCAACACTTTACAAAACTATGAAATTATACAATTAATGTATATTTATTTTAAAAAAGTTTGTAATTATGAGCAGGGAAATTGTAGATTCGTGTCTAATCTGTGACTCAAATGAATAAAAAAAAATGTTTATCGAAAAAGAAGAAAAAAAAATTATGCCTTTTTTTTTCCAAGCATTAAATTTCCTTAGAATTTTTGTAGTACTCACTCGTAATGCAATTCATTTAGCTGATTGGTTGGTTAGAAAGTCACGCAGGTGCCTCGATTAACATATATGAATTTATTCTTATGTCAGAAAAAATTGTTTCGTCAATCTGTTTAAATGGGGAAGACCAGCCAGATTTTACAACGTTTTAAACACAACATTTGAATGCAGTTTGGTACAATTTTCTCCTTTCACATATAGATAGATTTCAAAAAAATACAGCGACCATCCAAGGGAGGAAAATGTACCTACTTGTGCTCGCATATTTTTATGGCTTCAAAGAGTGGGGCGGGGCCAAAATTCAATGAAAATTGGATGTAGACATGGTACCCCTGCTCAAAATAAAGATAAATATCTTCCAAATAATGTTTCTATTTTCGGTAAAAGTAGTATTCCATGACAGTACACATCAGTGATTAAGTGGATGCAAAAATTAGAGTAAAATTTAGATATTTTATTTTTGGTCAATTTACCGGGGGACATATGGCACATCCTCCTTTACTAAATTGAGGAGAGTTATGCCCCTTTCCTATAGTAATTTTCATAGAAAATTTTTGAACCCCAAATAATGCTTTCCCTTCATCCTATTTTGTAAGATTTTTTTATTAAATTTATTTTGTGCATTTTAGAGTTTACTTACAACAAAAGAAATTGTGTTTCAAATAGTTTGATGTTTCATGATAAATTGACTGGACTATAAGCATTTTTAAAAAGATAAGTTTTATTTCAGTCATTTTATCTATTTTATTAAAAATTCAAGCGATAAAAAATATCAGCTAGGACAGGATGCATAAAGATCCTTTGATAAATTAGTGATAATGAATTTTATTATATACCCAACTGTGTATCACTCATTTTACTGTTGATTTAAGGCAATCACATGACAGTGTGATCCAACTTTCCGGATCACCATACTGTGGTTTTCTGAATCCATATCACCCCTCTGATGAAGTACTACACAATTTACATGACGTTTTTTCTTGCGTATCAAATAGTTCCTTTAAAAAAATGTTTTGTTTAATGGATAAAAAAATGTATGATTGATCCCAAAAGTTTTCTTTTATAATATTTTGCTAATTATAAAGGGTATATAATAAATTTATCATTATAACAGTAACTTGATCAGAAGAGCCGTATCACGTCTCATTGACAGGCGCAGATCATCAGATCAAACTCCATGTTCCCTGTCTTGTTTGATCTGATGATCTGCGCCTGTCTACTCGATGTGATATGGCTCTTCAGATCAAGTTACTGTTATAATATATATAATATATATGTATTTGTTTATAATGTTAGTGGAAAGTAAGAAATATGTCTTTTTCATAAGAAAAAAGTTGAGATAAGATTGTACCTGTAATTTAATTTGTTGGATGAGAGCATTGTTTATGGTTTAGGGAGATGCAATGGATTATGTGGAGAAAGTCTCAGAAAACATGCAGATATTTTCCCCTGAGGATGTTTTAACTGGCAGAGATTTAATGTATGAATATGACCCAGAGGTAGGTCTAGTAAATATATAAGTAATTTCTTAATAACATTTGCTAAATACTTAGAGGTTTTAAGAATTTTTCTTACTTTCTACAGCTGATTGTTAAGTGCCTGGCAGATCTAAGGGCAGACAACTGTTGTATTTTCCTATCGTCCAAACAACTGTCAGATAAATATGACAGACAGGATATCAAATGGAGTCCTGTAAAGTATGGAGTGGCAGAAATCAAACCTGAATGGATTCAAAAATGGCAAGGTATAAACTCCAAACAACAATGCACTATATACTAATATTTGTACAAACCACGGAGACAACATAAGGCAATGATTTATAACCAAAGTTTCATTAATTTCCATGAGGATCAAATTTCATGTTTTTAGAAAATATAATTTTCTTTATATGTATATTTATGGACAGCTACCTCATCCTATTCAGTTTATAAGTAAAATTTGAAGTTTGTAGCCATAAACTTTAAATTTTAGTTCACCTAAGCCAAGCAGCTAGGCTCAAACCAACCTAGATAATGGATTGGTTGTATGTATTTTCTTTCAGACCCACCTAAAAATCCTGACCTTTGCTTACCACAACCAAACAAATCAATAGGTATTTATGTTGTATTCTTATTATACTGTAAATTATGTTATTCTCAGCATTCAAAATTAAAATTCATATTGTACACTACACATGAATATCGGCATACTATAGAAAATACAATTAGTATCTATATTCCAGTGTATGTTAATATTTTCACTCTGTTTTACAGCTACAGATTTTACAATAGCAGAGGTGGAAGCAAAGTATTGTACAAAGGTGGGGCTTGTCTCCTTAAAATTTTGTTTCCTTTGTTCAAGATTTTGAAATAAACTGATTCATGTACAGCTAGTACTTTCAGCAAATGTAGTTTTAATTCACGTAGTTATTCTTGTACAATGTACATGTATATATAATTGGAAGTTTTTCTCTTTCAGCATCCTATAACTCTGTCAGAAAATGAGTTGTGTACATTGTATTACAAGAAAGATATGAAATTCAAAGTGCCAAAAGGTTAGTGTTTCTAAAAAGGACTAAACTAAAAAGGAGAAATCATTCATGAAGTGAACCACATTTATAGGTCAATGTACCTTACATGGAGCTTGATCTTGCATAAAACACTGTCCTGTGATTAAAAAAAAATACAAAATTAAAAAAAGATTTTTTCTGGATGAAAACATCTTTGTGTTTGGGGAAATTAGTTTGTGTCTTACAATTTCCTATTCTTCTAAAACTGTCATTTAAAGAGAAATGTAAATGTTCAAAACATTGAACAGTGTTAGCAGCATTTTCATCATCATAAATTGATGCATTGTTTCTTTATACCGTACAAAGTTATCCCTATGTAAAGAGTATATGGGTGATGATATTCCTGCATTTTTAAAGACATTTGTGAGATCATGCAGTTTTACTGATAGTTAAAAGTTTCATGGTTTATAATGAAAAAAAATTCTTTTGTAGCTTATGTGTGTGTTCAGTTGATGTCACCAGTGGCCAGCCAATCAGTGAAGAGGTAAGATTTCATTGAAGACATTGTGTATACTGCAATAGAATTAAGAAAGTGAGAGCAAATTAATAACATAACAAGGTGCTGGTATTTTCATTCAGATCAATCAACAGAACTCAAGTAATGATCAAATGAGATTAGATAATTCCTGTACACTTAATGCTTCAAATTGTTCTTGTTGACAAACGTTTTGTCTATAATTTTCACTAGATATTGGAAAAAATAAAAGTATTGTGTTTGCTGAACACTCTACACTGAAAGGTGCAATAATTAATGGTATTTTGCAGCCAAGGTCTGCTGAAAATATTTGAGGCTGTGATGAGCCATAAATTGGATGCCCCTACATATCCTGCTATCATGGCTGGCTTTGAGTAAGTTGATTTTGAGCTTGAGAATGTGTTCCAGTACTAGACCCATTAAAAGAACGTATGGTATAAGTTTTGGACATTGACCTATGCATTAACAGTGAAACTTGTCTTACCAGGACAAAACTATTCCATAGAAATTGATTAGATTAGATAACAGACTGGACAAGACAACATTACAGATTAGACAACATTTTAATCTGCAGTCACCTTAATTAAGTACAAGAAACATAAAGTTTACATCACAATAGACAAGATTTTGGAGTAGACAACAACCAGATTAGACAAGTTTGACTGTATTGACTAAAATTGTTAAAAATTCTAATCTTGCTAGTCCATATTTTTATAGCTGTAATAGAAATAACAAAATATTCCCTAAAAGTTATCGACAATAAAGAAATTTTCAAACCCTGCTTAAGAGCCATTCTCTGTATTTAAATGACTTTAACTTTTATATAGGAGCTGTGGCACGCATAGTCTCAGAATTTCTCCAAACTCTCTATGATAAAAGTCTTTGATACCGTAAACTCAAATCAGGCAAAAATTGGTTGCTATGTGTCATGGTTACCATAGCAACATGTCCTAAATTTTGAAAAATGGCATTTTTCAACATGTTCAGAGTCCCACAGTTAACGTTTGCAGCAAAGCAAACAAGTGGCAATGACTGTTTCTGAAAGTTGAAGGCCTGATGTCTTAAATGCATAATAAACATGTTTGGTAAATCAACTATTACATACGTTACTATGGAAACAAAGTATTCAAAAGTAATAATTTTGTTCATTTAATTTTATAAAGTCATACACTTAAGAATTAAAAAAAATTATAGGTTGAAATGCAAGCAAATAATAGACAAGAGATCCTTGTAACATATACCAAGGACGAAATATGATATTTCTTATAGGTTGACAATGGTTGCCATGGTTTTAATACCACAAAGGGATTTTAGAATTTACTCTTTTAATATTTTAATCTTATCCTATCTTTTTACAAAGCATATTTCTATATAACTGATGATCAATTTTTAAAGGCATTGGCGTGACCCTACTTTCACATTTCAAAAAATTCAAATTTGATTCTTTAAATAGAGCGTTGCTATGGAAATTAGCCGAAAAAATAAGCATAAAAATCTGAAAAATATTCTGTTTCCTTGGATATGTACCCTTGTATGTAGATTCCCAAAACTTTTATGATTGATATATATGAACAACTAACCTGACTTTCAATTTTGACTACCACCCAATCTCTAACTGGATGCAAAAAGCTGGCACATAGTATTTGATATTGATATAAAATTAACAAAATCGAACATTTTCCTTTCTTGGTAACCATAGCAACAGTGTTGTATTTTTCAACAAACTTTATCAATATATGATATTCAACTTTAGTTCTACCAGATAAGTACTATTCAAGGTGAGTCAAATCATATGTTCCTTGATTAAAAGGTAAGTAAATTCCTAAAGCAGTAAAAAAATATCACTTTAAACAACTGGTACATGTACATTGTTTCCATGGTTACACTGCAAAGTAACAATTAATCCAAATTTTTCTTATGTTGCCGGTGTTGCAAGGTCCTAAGGATGTATATGTGCCAGTCATGAATTTTATTGTTTTTCCTCAAGATAGTAGCATTAACCCATTCTTAGCAATGAATTTTGCATGGTTACACTGTGTTACCATGGCAACCATGAAAGTTATTTTTAGAATAATATTGCCAATACCTAATTACTTAAGGTCAAATATTTTTATCATTTTTCTTCAATTACTGATTGAGTTTGATCATGTAACATCTAACATTAGTGAATATTGAGCGTTTTTCAGCATTTTTCAGCATCTACAATGTATGTCAAATGTACCCATGGTTACCACTTACTTAGAGAAAAATTCTAAATAGTTTCTTTATAGCATAAGTAACAACAAGGTGTCATGTTTTTGAGAGAATGGTTTGTTTGTTGTTTTTTTTTAGTCTTTATTAAGGCTTAATAAAGATTTGAAGTAGCTGAAAATCTCAATTTTTTCAACTTTTCTGGCTGTTACCATGGCAAAAGACACATAGCAACGAAATTTTATTTGATATATGTTTCTGGTGTCAAGTTGTAATAATGGGCAAAGTTTCATCAATATCGGTGACCATGCGTGGCAAAGAAGTTTAAGTGGTTACAGAGAATTGCTATTAAAAGCTATTATTTAGGGGGGGATGGAGGTGTATACTGCATCCATGGATATATTACTGGTAGACGCTCTACCACTGTGCAACAGGCGATGCATAGTGTAAGTAGTGATGGGGAGTGTCCGTCCGTTACACTTTTGTGTACACATCTCTTATCCACAACTCCTCTTATACCACTGAATAAAATTTAATGAGACTTTCACAGTGTCTTTGTTACATAGTGCAATTGTGACCTCTTATTTTACTTTATGATCGGACAGATACATGTATTTCGAGTTTCCAATAGCAAAACATAGACTCTGCCATTCTTTCTATAATATTGAGGGGTACCCAGCCATCTCTTATCCGCAACTCCTCTTATACCACTGAATAAAAGAATGAGACTTTCAGAATCTTTGTTACATAGTGCCATTGTGCACCTTCTATTTTACTTTTTGATTGGACACATAATTTGGGTTTCCAATAGAGATATTACCATTCTTTCTATAATATTTAGGGGTACCCATCTCTTATTCGCAATATCTCCTATACCACTGAATAAAATTTAATTATACTTTCTCAGAATCTTTACTACATAGTGCCGTTGTACGTCTTCTATTTTACTTTTTGATCAGACACTTATTCTGGGTCTCCCATTGCAAAACATGGACTTTGAACATGAACATATGGGAGGCGGGGGTATCATTTTGTTAGCTCAGTGCTCACAGTACTCTAGTTAGCTCTTCTGAGCCAAAGGCTCAAAGAGCTAATGCTATGGCCATTTGTGCGGTGTGTGTAAACTTTTTAGAATATGGGCCATAACTCAAGAACCCCTTGGCCAATTATTGTCAAATTTGTCACAGGGTCTCCTTGGCCCAAGGGCTCCCTTTTATACTAAAATTGGGGTTGTGACCCTTTAACAAGGGGAGATAATTAGGAAAACAGAAACAAAAGTACTGGTTGCTAAAAAATCTTCTTCTCAAGAACCACTGGGCAGATTATCACCAAACTTACACAAAAGAATGAGGATATGTTGTAGATTAAAATTTGCACGGGGATTTACCCTGGGGCAAAGGGCGTGGTCTCAAGGTCACTTCAAAGTTGACCAAAAATTACAATTTATGAAAATGTTGATATTTTGCTTACTATAAGGACTAGGATCATCAAATCTTGTCAGTTGGTGCATCTAAGGACCTCATATCATGTTGACTCAAAAGTAGGTCACGGTGACCTACTTTTTAAATTTTGCGGCCATTCTTATTCAAAATGATTTAGAGGCATATTTTGGACAATTTAAGGCATATGATCATCAAACTTCGTCAGTTGATGCATCTTGGGTCCTCAAAGTACGTCAACTAAAAAGTAGGTCACCTTGACCTACTTTTTGAATTTTATGGCTAATCTTTTTTAAAACAATTAAGGTCATTAATTCAAATACGGGGAGGCTTAGAATCATTAAATCTTGTAAGATGATGCATCTTGGGGCCATAAAACATATTTATTAAAAAGTAGGTCACAGTGACCTACTTTTTGAACTTTGCAGGCATTCGATTTCAAAGCGTTTTAGAGGCATAATTTGGACATTTTAAGTCCTATGATCATAAAACTTTGTAAGTTGATGCATCTTGGGTCCTCAGAAAAGGTCAACTGAAAAGTAGGTCACCGTGACCTACTTTTCAATTTATATGACTATAATTAAATATTTCAGGTACTAATTGGCTTAGAATCATCAAACTTTGTCAGTTGATGCATCTTGGGTCTTTGGAGTAGGTCGACTAAAAAGTAGGTCACAGTGACCTACTTTTGAAAATTTATGGCATTAATTAAATATTTCGGGTACTAATTGGCTTAGAATCATCAAACTTTGTCAGTTGATGCGTCATGGGTCTTCGGAGTAGGTTGACTAAAAAGTAGGTCACGGTGACCTACTTTCGGAAAATTTATGGCTTTAATCAAATATTTCGGGTACTAATTGGCTTAGAATCATTAAACTTTGTCAGTTGATGTGTCTTGGGTCCTCGGAGTACAACAACTGAAAAGTAGGTCACGGTGACCTACTTTTGAAAATTTATGGCTGTAATTAAATATTTTGGGTACTTATTGGCTAGAATCATCAAACTTTGTCAGTCGATGTATCTTTGGTCCTCGGAGTACAGCAACTGAAAAGTAGGTCACGGTGATCTACTTTTGAAAATTTATGGCTTTAATTAAATATTACAGGTACTAATTGGCTTAGAATCATCAAACTTTGTCAGTTGATGCATCTTGGGTCCTTGGAGTAAAACAATTGAAAAGTAGGTCACTTTGACCTACTTATAAAATTCTATGGTTATAATTTTAAAAAATATTTTAGGTATTAATTGGCTTAGAATCATCAAATTTAGTTGATGGGTCCTCAGAGAATGACAAGTGATAAGTAGGTCACCATGACCAACTCTCAGGTACTAATTGGCTTAGAATCATCTTGGGTTCTCAGAGTGTGAATTGGAATTTCAAGGGTTTATCTAAATATACAGGATACTTCGAGGCTTCAAATAGAAGTGATAGGTTGTACAGTTTATCAGAAGAGCGATTCAAGGCCCATGGGCCTCTTGTTTATCTAGTTAAAATGTCCATCTTATTTATATACTAATCTTTCTTTTATGTTCATCATTTACTTAAAATAAATGTAGAAATATAGGTTCTGCAAAAAATGCGAAGTAATTGTATATACTTAATTTATGGGTTTTGTCCTAAAAATTCATATTACAAAACTTCCGAAATATCCAAGAATTAGAGATATCCAGGGCAAAATACTTAAAGAATAAGGGGTAACTACTTCCAAAACACTTCAATATATCCATGGTATTCGAAAAATCAGTGTTCAAGATACTGAAGTTCAACTGTATATGTATTTGGTTTTATCATGGTAGACTTTCTATTCTTGATTAAAACGATTTGAATTTCAGCTACTCAATCAATGTGGATGATACAGGACTTAAATTCAAAGTGAATGGATTTAACCAGAAATTGCCTGTAAGAATTCTTATCGAATTGTACAATCAAATTCTTTTTCCTTTTATAATCTTCGTATTGTTTAATGGAGGCCCATATAAGAACATACATTTAACTATATGTACATCTTAATGCAAAATATGTTCCAAAATATGTGTATGATACTGCTTAACAGGGATAGACATTAACTCAAACTTTGACTTGTCCGAATGCAAAACTTGGTTGCTCAAAACTAAGAAAGAACTTATTAATAAGAAGAAAATTATTTATTACTGTAAATGTTATGAAATACAGTAAAAAACGTGACCAAATACACTACTGTCAATTTGGCAAGTTGAGCTACCAGAAAAAAAATTTCGATGCTGCATTAGTACATAAATGTATACTACTGTAGTTGTAAATTCTTAAGAAATAAGGTTTCATTTTTAAACATCTATCAGGATATAAATATGGGTTGGTCATGAGATCAAATTCCATAAAGCCCGAAGGGCTTTATGGTAAATTTGATCTTGTACCAACCCATATTTATATCTCGGTAGATGTTTAAAAATGATACCTTATTACTTATATTTACATTTGTAACTTATTTGTATTTTATATTTGTCTGCTAATAATTTTTAACGTGTGAAGTGTTTTGTTTTTCAAACTCAACGGCACATGTTTAAGCCATTGATTGCACGTCGACCCTTTATGATGTCACTGAGAAATTATGTCGAACATTTATGACGTGAGGAACCCGTATTTATTCAGATATAGATACGTGTTGCTTTCAATAGTGTAATATAAAAGAAAGCATTTGCAAATGTAAATATAACCTGTTAACACACACTGCCATGCAGCAATAACCCTCTGTTTCCTTTTAATATAATTCATATTTTAAAAACTTATTTTCGGTAGGATCCTTTTGTGAATCGTGATTTTCAGAGATAACTGTGAAGCAACACTTAAGGAAGATAGTTGCTACAAAACATACATCTTATCTTGATCAGGATACATCGTGTTACACTGTGCGTGAATAAATAATTCTTATTTCCCAATAAGAAGTTAACACAATTTTGTTTGAACCCGATTTTTAAATGAACGGTATAATCCAGAAACGCTAGCAAGGAATTCTGAATGCAAAAAATCAAGTGTTCAATTTATTGTTTTATTTATAAATTAATGTAAACTAAATAAATAAGTACATTTGTAAGTACATTTGTATGAGGGAAAAAAATTCACTCGCCCATGCAATCGGACAAGTACGTCAACAATTTCACTAGCCTGAATTGATAATTTACTTGTCCCGGGCAATCGGACAACCATTAATGTCGATCCCTGCTAAATCTGAGAAGCCTGTATTGGTTTGTTAATGGTCTGTTGTAGGAGCTGTTTGATCTACTTCTGACAGCTGTATTTGACTATGCCTGCAATGATGAGTTGTTTCCCATCATGAGAAATAAAGTGAAGAGGGAGATTTTTAATGCCATCATCAGACCATCTGAACTTGTCAGGCAAGAATGTCTGTGTTAACGTTGCACGAGAAATCATTGTTTGTTCCATGAGATATCATAACTCTGCAGCCATTTCTATATGTAAATAAGAGATATAAAGTTGTGTGGATTATATACAGATGACTCGAGATCTAACCAACTAACAAACCAAACTGACAAGCTACTTAATTTTTTACTTGAATTTGCCAGTTGAATACTTGAATTTTAGATTCCAACACCTGTAATTAAGGAAGATTGACTGGATGATGTTACATATTCATTTTAATCAGTTGATAATGTATTTCTTATTTACTATCAGTATTGCTGATTCTCCCCTCCCTATTCCACACTACACATATTTACGTTTATACAATAAATGGACATATAAAATCCTTGTTGTCTGTAACATTCCTTCATTGTTGATTTTCCTTACAGAATCCTTCGATTTTCTGTGATAGACCCCTACTACAGGCCTGCACCTGAAATATACAGTATAATTGATAGTTTGACCAATGAGGATCTTCGACACTTCCTAACAGAGTTCAGACAGAGTATAAAAGCAGACATCTTAGTTGTTGGCAATGTTACACCAAAGGTAAATCTGAGGAAGATGAGGTTAATGACAAACAGTTACAAACAACTCTAGTCCAGTTAAACAGAGCAAGTTTATGAAATATGACTTGTGCTTTATACTTGCTGGCACTGGCACCTTTGGAGTATAGGGCAATGGTGAGCTCTCTCCATCCCTGTTTCTCACTGGCTAGCTTCTGCGTTGTGCCCAAACTTCTATTTTGTTTCTTTATTTTGTAATGTCATTTTAAATCTTTAAATCAACTGCAACAGATTTGTAATTTACTTATGAATTTCCTATTTCGCAGGAGGCAACTTGGTATAAAGAGAGAGTGGAATCAAAATTATGTGGAAAAGTGGAACCTTCTAAAATGTACCAGGTAAAATAGATACAGTTTAACTTTGGTATCTCGAACACTGATATCTCAAATACCATTGATATGTCGAAGTGATTTGAAGTCCCAACCGCTTATTCCTTAAGTATTTAACCCTGGATATCTTGAATTCTTGGATATCTCGAAGTATTTTCTCGGTCCCATCAAGTTCAAGATAACAAGGTTTGACTGTATATGGTAGGAAGAAATTAAATTTGTATATTTTAAACAAGAGGATGAAAGAGAGAGGGATCCATTTTATGTCTAAAATATTCAAAGTTTTTAGTGCATTTGATGGGCTAACTTTCTTTTATTCCTCTAATAGCTGAAATGTGAAAGTTTTTATGTGCTCGACAATATGAATATAGTACTATGCACTATAAGATTGATTTTAAAATTACATTTGATGTATTACATCTTTATTCAACTAGATACCTAGAAAGTTTCATTTTTTTCATGTTTTGTAGAGAAGATTGTACCAGATTCCTAAACAGTGGAGTTACTGCCAGACAAACAGCTTTAACATGGAGGACGCCAACTCTAGCATCACAGTGTACCTCCAGTCTGACCCCGGGGATATCAGGTCAACTGTCATTAACGAACTCTTAGATGTAAGTGTCATAAGCTTCTCTAAAGATTCAAAGTACTCCATGAAGTCTGATTTTCATTTTTTTTATTTTCATTTATTATTTATACATCTTTTGTTGTGTTTTCTGTTATTGATGTAAAAACGAGCTACATTCCTCACATACATGTATGGCACTCCACATGTAAACTTCTTTTTGCATAGTTAAGAATGCAGGAGCCCTGTTTTGATGTATTGAGGACACAACTACAGCTGGGTTACACTGTATACTGTCAGAATCTGGTCACCAATGGCATCATGGGACTCGCTGTAAGAGTCCAATTTCAAGCTCAGAAGTTCACGTAAGAGTTACATTATTTGTATATATACATGTATACTGGGGGTTATACCGAAACCTTAGAGATTTCACGCAAATAAATTACAGCTTTCATTTTAAATTTACGCTGTTAATTTGCTGTTTCATTACAACTTTCAAGATGGCTGAGGTTATAAAGAGTATTTTTCATTGATTCAATTAAGAGTTACTACTAACAGTAAAATGATTTTTCTGACAGTTTTTCAATGTTAAAAAAAATTGAGAAACCAAATTATTATTTTTTTTTGTAGAATGCATGAAGTTGACAACCATATTGAGGATTTTTTGAACAAGTTCAAAGAGATCTTGGATGAAATGTCCAAAGAGGAATTTGATACTTTGGTAATTGCTGAGCTCTACTGTAATTCTTTTGTTTAAACAATTTCATTGCCTCCCTGAAAAACTTTACTGTATATTTCATGTAGAAATGTGATCATTGTTGTCTTGGTCTTAAGTCATTGTGGTGTATCTGAAGTCCCTGTGGTATATTTAAGGTGGAGTCTCTGATAGCAGCCAAGCTTACAGAGGACACACAGTTAGAGGAGGAAGTCAACAGATACTGGGGGGAGTGCAAGGAACAAAACTATGTGTTTGACCGACTAGAGAAAGAGGTCTTTATTATATTACGTGTATTTATAATGATTGTTATGAAACAAAAGACAGTCAGTGAATTAAGTAAATACATATGTTTTCTGATGCAATTTTACATGTGTATATGAAGTCTGGAGTGTTATTATATTAACATACATTGTAGATACTCTAATCTGTATAAATGTTCATATGGAATAATCTACTTCTCCTTCTACTGTAGGTAGCTGTACTGAGGGTATTAACAGTAGAAGACCTGCGGAACTGGTACAAACAGTATCTGGGCGAAAACCAGAAACGGATAAGCTTTCAGGTATCAAAACTCACATCAGTATTTACTGCCACATTCTAGAAAACTTGTTTTGACCATGAATTTAAAAATACAAGCAATACATTTATCTGTGTAAAACTTAGTGGTGTCTTTATCAGATTCAACTTGTTGTTGTGAATTTATTTACATGTATTAAAACAAGATTTGTTTGTGAAACACTAGTGCTCCCATATGGCAGCTCATGGCAAAGGTTAAAGTTTCTCAAATGCAAGTCAAACTCCAAGGTCAAGGTGAACAGATTAAAAAAATGTTGGTACCCAAAGAAAGGTAATGTCACAAGGAATACACTTGTGAAATATGAAAGCCCCTGCAGCAACCATTCAGAAATTATGGTCAAGGTTTTTTAAAAGCTCAAGGTCATAAGGTCAAAAATATTGGTACTTAAGAAAAAGTCTTATCACAAGGAATGCATCTGTTAAATGTGAAAGCTCTAGTCCCAACCATTCACAAGTTAAGGCCAAGGTTAAAGTTGTTCAAAAGTAGGTCAAACTCCAAGGTCAAGGCCGAAGGGTCAAAAATATTTGTACTCAAAGATAGGTCTTGTCACAAGGAATAAACATGGAAAATATGAGAGCTATCACTAACCATTCACAAGTTTTGGGCAAGGTTAAAGTTTTCAAAAGTAAGGTCAAATTCCAAGCTCAAGGTAATAAATAATCATACCCAGGAGAAGGTTTTATCACAAGGAATACATATGTTAAGTATGAAAGCTCTAGCACTAACCTTTCAAAGGTTATGGCCAAGATTTAATCTAATATTTGTGCTCCAGGTACTTGGAAACCCAGAAGTGGAACAAGCTGATGGGAAGAGTGATGAAGTGGAACCTCCCCAGAAGAAAGCTAACACAGACAAATGTAATAGAGAACAGAGCTATGTTGTGAGACCTGTCAAAGACTGTAACTACCCAGATCATCAATGTATCAGTGACATACAGCACCTCAGATCTAAACTCACAATGTTTGACTACCACTGTATCACAAAATGATGAAGGTTGAAGATAGGTACAATGATCAATGTTAAAAGAAAGGGAGGTGTGGGGGTTTAGTTCTGTTTTAATTGTTTCAATATTTTGACCTTTTAAAGAAAAGAAACTATCATTCAGGGAAGTGGGACATTCAGTCATTGTGGTAATTAAGCATGAAATTATTTTATGAGGGAATGAAACATGGTGTAAGATATACATGTACATGTACCACAAAGAAACAAAAATCTTTCAAAAAGTGAATACAGTTGAACTTCGGTATCTCGAACACTGATATCTTGAATGCCATGTATATGTCAAAGTGAATTGGAAGTCCCAACCACTTATTCTTAAAGTATTTAACCCTCAAATACTTGGATATCTCGAAGTTTTTACCTGGTCCCATTGAGTTCGAGATAACGAGGTTTGACTGCATTTTAAATCTTTATAATATACCAAAACTTTACATAAAGGAGACTGGAATATGGTGAGGGCATCATATCACTGATAAAGATTATTCATGGATGACATAACGTGTGGAAAGGTACAGCTTCTGGACAGTATATGTAGCTATATAATCATTCTTTGTATTGACATTGAGAAATCTAATAAAATTTCTAAATGATTTTTTTTCTTATTCATTATGATATTGGATCACAGAAAGAAAGAAGTCAATGGGGAGACAGAAAAATGTCATTTAGGTCAGCAGTTTTGGTTTCAGGATGACTTTTATGTATTTATTGTTCGTGAGTGATGGGTAAGACAGTGATTTTGCTTAACAGTTATTACTAATCAACATATGATGATAAAGCAAATTACTAACATAGGACAATTCCTTAGGCATTAAGAACATACAATATGAAAGGAAATGCCCCATGTTTCTCAAGTCAAAATTCTCAAATGATTTGATCTCAATGAGATTTATCTGTGTATAGAATATGAAGTGATCCTTTTCTGAATTCAATACAATGTAATAAGAACTAAGAAGAGAATGAAGAAAATTATGTCAAGGTCGGATGGAACATGGACCACCAAAATTATGACAGATGAATTGCTTTCATCAATCTGAATCTGCATTTAAAGTTTTATCATTTTTTTTTAAACTTTCCAACTGATATAAGTGCAATTTTGGAGAGGTGTGGTCAAAGGCATCTTAATTATATAGGTACAAAAATAAAATAGCTATCCTTGGACCAAGGTAAGTGTTGTGGCTCATGGACCTCATGTATTATGTGTATATGACTTGTCTATAAACAAACAAACTATTAACACCTGTATCAGTTATCATCAGTTTATTAAACAACCAGAATTACATTCTTCAGATTTTTATCACAGATTACATGTATCATGAATAATAAATGCTCTCAGTCTTGTAAAATATTAAAATAAAACAAATAAATACACATTTAACATTGATATATCATTAATAAACAGTCTTCTAGGACTAAGTTACTGTTGACAGCAGATAACAGGAAGTCCACAATGCCAGCGACAAATCCAAAACAAAATGCAGTAAAAAATATATATGTGCCTTGGCAGTTTGTGTTGGTATTGAATTTGCCCCTCCCATCACTTCAAATCCCATCACCAGGTGCTGTTCACAGACAAATGCAGTGCCTCTGGTATGTGAGGGTGTCACAGGTCATGTGACATCCATCACAGATTGCAAAGAGTATAATCAGTTCACACCAAAATTATGCTATTATTATATACTATAATAGAAATAAATCATTTACATATGTACATTTTAAAAATCATGCCATCTAAATAGGCTAAGTACATGTAGTCTATTTTTCTTCTGTCCAAGTATATGCAAAAAAAGGTGAATATTCTAAATTATCACTTCTTGAAGATTTGTTTTTTTCTATTCCATTGTTTTTGTGCTGTGGATATCCATATCTTGGGTTGGATTATTAAGAATTCCACGAATATCCTGCAAAAAAAATAATTAAAACCATAGCACTTTTTTTCACATGTTACTTGCCAGTACTCGGGATGCATAATAATAGGTCTTCAATTAGGTCATATAATCGTACATGTATATTTCTGTAGAGGAGGTTGAAAACACATGTATGTCATTTTAAAAAATGTATAGTCCAGACTGTGCATTATTCATCTACATTTTCTGGACTCATTTGAAACCTTGGCAAGAATGTAGTTATTATTCATGTATAGAACTTTTTATTGAGTATTGAGATACTGACCAGAGATTTAAATGTTTGGCAGGCAGCCATTACATCTTGTATGAGGGGATGTTCCACAAGGACTTTGTAGGGAAGAGGTTCTAAATTATCACTGCCCAACTCCTGGTACACATTTGGCAGCTTCTCCTATAAATAATCAACACACTCCAAATCAAAATTAAAACTTGTAGGAATTACTTTATGTGTATCCGGAAAGCACACCCTCTCAAACAAAAACAATGCATGCATGTATGCAAATTCAGATATTTCTGAATTCTGATTGGTTCATATGAAATACTTGTACTGGATCTACAAGTAAAATGTTGGACTGAACAGAACTCTCTTATTAGTTCAGTAACTGACCTTAGATGTGGCATCCTCTGGATCAGCTGATACACTAAAGCGGTGGCTGTCCACACTAGCATTCTCTCCGTGGTGCAATACTTGATAGAGAGCATCCAGTGGTACTCTGGCATTGATGGCATCCTCGGGAATGTCAGTAGGTAATCCACAATATCAGGATTACTGAAGTAAAAATTTACAGCAAATACTCAAGAAAGCAAACACATTTTCAAATACTAATGTATGGATTGCACTCTCTTGGTTTGAGTAATCAGAAACACTTTTTTAATGTGTATTTTTGTTATTTCAGATAAACTGCCAGCAAATAAGTATTCAATAGAACAGACTAGACAGTTCAACTGAATAGCAAGCATACTCTTTTAATAACAAACAGCACATGCATTATTTTCTATACTTAGAAAATTCTGAATCAGTCTATCTATATATTGGCTAAGATTTTAAACTCCTTCTCCAGCTAAAATTATTGTTGTCTCCAGTCTATCATGGGAAACACACATGTACATGTATCATGATAAAATATATTGTAAATCATTTCTCTTTAATTTTGAGCTCAGATACAAAGATGCTTTCTTCTTGACTACTATGTTCTAAGCTGTCTTTGCTTTTGATAATTAGAATATTGTACTCAATTATAAGGACAGAATTTCATGATTTCCTGGTCGTGTACAAACTTGGGAAAGTACTTTGCATGCATGAAAACATTTGGTTTACAGTAATATAAACCTACCTATCAGATCTACTTGGTGCCCTCATATCATTCCAAGGTAATGGGTCAAAGAGATTTTTTTTCTGAAGTTCCAAACAAGAAAGAGTACATTAAAGATTTAATACAGCTTTTTGATAAAACAGGGACAAAAATCAGTATTCTGGAATGCATGTAATACCATGATTGGTATGAAATGGAGATTGGTAAATGAAAATTAAAGATGTAAGTCAAAATAATTTAGTTAAGGTTCACAGATACTTTTCAAAGTCTTTACAAATATCAAGCAGTTTTTTGAAGGACGTTGAGAATATTATTAAAGAAAAGACCAACATGTGCTGACAATCTTTTATAAATACCTTAGTCTGCTTTTCTTTCTTTAATGAAAAAGTGATTGTTTGGGCAGAACTTTCCTTTCATATAGTAATTCTATTTCTGTTAATCCATCATGAAAATACATGTATAGTGTACCTTAAAATGTGAAATTTGAGTATCGACCATGGATGCAGGGTTGAGAGTATTGTGTTAAACTGAATTTGTTTTTGAAATACAAAAGATTTCATTTCTGCAGAAGTAGTTTTGAATTGAATTTACATATATGTAACCTCAAACAAAAACATTTTTCACAATGTTTAATGTCTGTTGTTTTTGTTTTGTTTGTTGTCCCCCGTTTTTGCTAAAGCAAGGGTATATTTAATCTCCTTTGTCTGTAAGTCTGTCACAAAAACTCTAATTTTGATCATAACTTTAATATGACAAAAGATAGGTCTTTCATATTTCACATGTACATTATCTGTGATAAGTCCTTTCCAAATGATTTTTGAGTGTTTGACCTTGACCTTGAATTTTGACCTTCTTTTCAAACATTTAACATTGGTGATAACTTTTGATTAAGAAAAGATAGGATATTCATATTTGATGTATGCAATACCTTTGAGAAGAACTTTTCAAATATATAAATAATTTTTGATCCCATGACTTTGACCTGGAAGTTTGACCTACTTTTTAATTTTTTTTATGATATTTGACATGTGATTGCCTGTGACAAAACCTTTCCAAATGTGCTTTTGTTTTTGACCTTGTGATCTTCACCTTCAAGTTAACCTTTAGTACTTTTCAAAATTTTTAACATTGGTGATAATGTTTGAATGAAAGAAGATAGGGCTTTCATATTTTACAGGTACATTCTTGTGACAATACCTTTCAGAAAGAGCTATCATTTTTGACTTCATTACCTTGACCTAGAAGTTTTACCTACTTTTAGTTTTACCTTGCTCTGCTCCTATTTTGTATTGTATAATGGACTTTTGAGCTTGAATACTGTCCGTTATCTCCATATATTTCACCTACTTCAAAAAAAATTAACTTTGACCGAACATTTGCTCCAGAAGAAACAGGGATTTCATTTTTTTTCACATGTACATAACTTAATGTACAAGACCTGACAAGACCTTTCAGATTATGTGATGATATTTGACCTCATGACCTTGATTTGAAGTTTGATGCAGTTTAAAGAAACTTTTATCTTCACTGTAACTTTAATTCATTTAAAAATTTAATTTTTTTCAGGGATATGATGGACAGACAATAATAATATATATATTGCTATAATACAGGTCTAGAACTAAACATGTCTCAATGCTTGAGTTTTATCCAAGTTTTATAATCATTTAATTTTTCTTTAAGCAAACAACCAAGACAGACATTCGATCACCTTCAGGTAGGCTTTGAAAACACAAGTTATATTTTTATAAATTGTAATAACAGAAAACCTATAGAATTGTGTACCAGTAATTATTTTTTTTATGGAAATTATGTACTTGCTTTCCCTAATAATCGAAGCAAGAGCTTGTGATGTTCTCTGTCTTGATTACAACAGTGAACATCCCCAACTTGCAAATAAAGGTATTCAAGTGAAAATTTTGAATTAAGCACGAAATGATGTTTATCTTCTGTTTTGATTTGTTTTCCTTGTTTTAATATGCTTGTAAGTTCCCAATTTCCCCCCACTACTTATGGTTAATTAAGTACTTATCTCTATAAAAGAAACAGATTAGAATGCATTAATCTAAATCTTTTTCTTTAAATTTCAGAACCCATTTGAGATGGAAAAATTTAGAAAACTGTATTACAGTAAGTTATTTTACTTTTTTAAGTACAGTCTAATTAACAAAATTCGGCGATTAAAAAAAATTCTCCAGAAGTTAGCAAATTTTTTAATGCACATATATAATGTTGCAATATCAAACTTTGATTATTAAAAGTTTTCCATGACTTTTTATAAATGTTAACTTTTTTCACAGATTGTATTAAATTCTTGCTGTGGCCTCCAATTCAACATTTAGATATATCAACTATGTTTTTATCAAATAACACT